ATGGAGGCATCGGTAGCCAGTTGCTCCATTCAGCAGGGAACAGGCTGGAGGGCAGAATGTGGGGCAGTTCAAGAAGGAAGGGATTTTGCATAGCAGGCGCCACAGAAGTAGAAAGGGTCAGAGAAAGACCAGATGAGTAGAACTTGCCTCTCCAACATTTTTTAATACATCCCCCTTTACAAAAATCTCAGCTTTATTCATACTGTCTCCAGGTCCCTTCCTTTCCCAAAAATCTCCAAGGCTTCTTCCCTTTTCCTTTCCATTTCTATCCCATAATTTTTGTGGTTGCCCCTGGCTCGGATCCCTTCTGAGGGAAAATGGGTATTACATACTTCAAAAAAACTTCTCTTTCATAGGTTTTTTTGGATAGCAGCTTCTTTTTAGGTTGGTGTCATTTATGCATAAGAAGATTTTGTCCGTATATGCTGTGGGTATGAACGTTAGGTCTGGAAAGCATAATTGTCTGTCTTGCAATCCCAGTGCAGCACAATGCAGGGAAATAATTAACAAGCCAGCCATGCAGCCAAATGCTAATATTTGCATTCGCCATTGATATATAGAGAGCAAAGCTGCTGATGGAAATAATTTTCAGTTTTATTGCAGTCACAGATGATATCCTGAGAGAGGGAAAGTGTCATCCCAGCCCCAAAGTGATCACAGTTATATTTGAAGTACTGTGAAATGTTCAGGGGCTTGTCTTCATGATTCTCATTGGAGTCACAAAGGCTGTTTGCTGATGTCCCAGGCAGGGCTTAGAGAATGAAACTGTGGTATCATGAGACTCAAGATTTTCTGTGCAAGACTTACAAACCAGAAGAAGCTTCTGTGTGGCTACTTATTTCACCGTTTAGCTGAAGATTTAACTGATGCATTACTGATCTTAGCACTTAGTAAATGGACACCTCAAATTGATAACCATGAGTAATATTTAGTCTGTCCCTTTTATGTCTCTTCTCCCCCCCCTGCCAAGTTGTCAGGAATATTATTACGTTAAAACAGATCTATATCAGAAGCCCAATTCTACATGCTCTATTGTTTTGCATCCTGCTGTGTGCTCACCCACTCCACTCCAGAATGACTCATTTCAATTATGTGATAAGTAAAGTATGTAAAATGTTTTCTAAGCATTTCTAACTCTAATCTAATCTATTTTATTACCTTTCCATGCACTTGACCCCTTTTCATTTTCTAGTGCTTGAAACATTAAGCTACAATTATTAAAATGCTCAACAAGGTATATGTAAGTGCTCATGTGTAATAAGATGTAGGAGAAAAAAATGTTGATTTTAGCTGTCCTGAGAATTAGAGAAGATAGACACTGACTGGTGAAAAGATGAAATATAAAAAAGCCACATGAAGATGGAAAAGAGCAATTATCTCTTAGATCATGTCACCTCTCTGCAAGTACAGTATTGTGTTCCCCCAAGGACATGGGTTAAACAGAACTCTCTTGCAGCCCTTCCTCGGGCAGGCAGCTCCTCTTAATGCAGTTGTCTCCTAATGAACCTTTGTTGTGAGTGCAAAGATACCAGGATTGAAGTCAAGTGCTCTTCAATTAAGGATATATTTAGGTAGGTGGGAACAAGTAGAAATTTGGACAGCCATATCAGCCGTGCTATCAAAATTGAATTGCTTTGCAAAAATGCGTCCATCTTGTTTTTGAACTTCATTAAGAAAGAAAACAACCAGTATTGAGGGAGAGGTGTATCTGTAGAAAGAAGGAGAAATTAAAAAATACCAGAATGATCTATTTTGGACATCATTAAAACTGTTTTGAGTTTTCATTTTGAAATTAGTTTTTGTCTTTAACTTTGAAAATATAGAAGAAAATGTCTAAAAGTTGAAATCAAATTGATTGCCTCAGAAAACCAATCTTGATTGGAACATTTCAACATCAAGTCTAAAATTATCACAGTCATTTCTGAAATTTGGACTTTCATCCTCCTCATAGCCCTGCTAAGCCAGTACACTCCCTGAGTGTTTGGAACAAAATAATTTTGCAATCAATGGATTAAAATGTAAACCTGAACACACACATTCACAACAGCACCGTTATCACTCAGAAAGTAGTCTTGTGTTGCTGCTGGATTTGATTCATCTAGCAAGACAGGGAGGAGAAAAGTATGTCCTGAACTTGCAGATGTTTTTCCCGGAGGAGTAATGGCTCTTACGTAAATAATCACTTTATTCTGTAAGTGCATACACTTTCATTCCACAAATTGACTTCACCTCTTCTGCCCTTTTCTCTGGTTCAAGCCTCTGTTAAATCTAGCAAGCCTCATCATTCTGTTTTTAAGTATCAAAACTATAACCATCCAGGGCAGTGTTATGTGGGAAGCTCATTGTTTTAAAGGAACATCTTGAAACCCCAAAGTTGGTGTGAAATAAATACTGTGGTTGGATAGCACTATGAAAGACAGATGTAGCTTATCAGTAATGTGGAAGAAATACAGCTTTTTAACATCATCTTCTGTGATCAGGTAATGAGTGAGGAAAAATAGACATACAATAAGCAACAGAATTGATGGAGTAGTGCAGTAAATAAATTCCTTTGCTGCAATACAAGTATTTTCTAGTTATGAATCAGACATGCAGTACGTGATTGTTTGCCATACATCTGAAGGTGACAAACACCTACAGCTCTGGCCAGCTTTGGCACTAAAGTCCACAAGCAGTGAGCAGAGCAGAGGGGACACTCAGTGTCTGCTCTGCCCGGCTGTGGTCTCGAGCATGCCCAGGTGCCCCCATGCAACTTCACAGAAATAACTGAGTGTACCCAGAAACGACACCAATGGAAGGAGGATCAGAATCTCCCCATTTGTTCATAAATTGTCCCAGTCAGTTTCCAGTAACTCTGACTGTGTTCTGAGCTGCAGCTGATTTTCTTTTTTTTTTTTTCTCGTTATTTTTTTGCTGTCTTTCATGATACGTGTGTGTTTCATGAATATGATTTATTGTTTCTCTTCTTAAGCTGAAGCGGATGGGAGAAGGGTACGGCACTCACTCCTGAGGGAAGATCAATTATTAACTCACCTGAGAAAAGCTTGTTCTAGGCAGTTAGTGATTCACTCTTGTTCTTGGAACTTGAAGGTATATATTTCTCAGATAGTTACGTCTTTGGGAGTATGTTGTGATATATCCCAACTGTGAGTTTCAACATTAGTGCCTTTTACAGTTTTCTAGCCTCTTGTTTCAAGAATACTCTGTCAGTGAATTTCACAGGTTAATTACCTACTGTTTAACAAAATGACAGTTTTCATTGTCTCTTCAAATGGTGCTCATTTTCATAGTACCTTGTTATGAGGTAGGCATCTATTACATTGTCTTTGTTTTCAGCTGTCAAAGTAGTGTAATTTCCATATCTTCTATATGGAAATCTTACAGTTCCAGTTCCTGTAAGGATTGCTCCTTTTTCCTAGGTTTTTTTGTTTGTTTACTTCTGCTTATGGAAATATTTTATGGGCGGTAGCTAAAGCTAAATACACAGCTCAATGTGAACCTGGGTATTAATGCAGGGATTGCCACTATGGATGAGCCCAGTTTCTGTCTAGCTCAGATTTCTGTCTCTGATAGATGCCTCTGGTAAGTATTTCAGAGGAAAGTGCAACACAGCCCTCAGTAAGGAAATAATGAACCTCACACAGAAGGTCTTCCACTATCAGCCTTTTAAGCTGTGCCATGAAAAATGATAATCTGTATGGCTACTTACTTTTACCCAATTTAAAGCAACTGTTGGGGGGGTTTGTTGTAAGTATAAATACCTAATCCTTCCTGATATCCTGTTATTCTCATAGTCTCAATGATGCCTTGTAACAATGAGTTTCACCTCAGGTTAATCAAGTGCTCTAGGAAAAAATGTTTGCCTTTATCAGTCTTATACGTGTTGTCTTTTCAATTTCACTTAATGTCCAGGAATGTAGCTTTATTTCCCTTTTTCTACCATTCATTATTTTCTTAGCCTCTGTAATGTCTTCCCTTATTCATCACCTGTCTAAAGCAAACAATTCCAAATGTCTCAGTCAATTCTACTTGATTTGTATGTTTTAAAGTATTTTTATTTCATTTTTGTACCTGTCCTAATTTTAAAATGTACTTTTTAAAGATGAGAATTCCAGGCATAATCCTGATCTGTATCACTTGCATAATTCTAATTCTTTTGACTATTTTTACATTTTTCATTTCATTTTCTCTGGTGATCCTATGTGTACTGGAAAGATTTCAGGGGGATGTTCAGTGCTATGCAGGTTGTCGCAAAACCTCCCACAAATACATCTTCACTTACCTGAGTGTCTTAGAGTGCTTCAGTTAGTATTTGTCACTGTGCTTTCTTTGTTTTGTTCCAATTAAAGGGCAGACTGTGTTTTGAAAGCATATTAAGTGGAATTTTTTTTTTGTTTTTTTTTAAATGATCATGTATGTGTATTTGTCAAATACAGGTGGAAGGCAGGCATTTGGAGTGGATGGTGGTTAATTGAGGAGTGGTCTGCTCCTTTTGAAACTAAATTGTCTGAAACGAAGCCCATGTTTCTGCCTGCAGAGAGGTTTAAATTATGGCAGTGGCTATGCAGTTTAAGCTATTAAATAATAACCTTCTGAGGACTTGATATTGAAACGTCTCAGTACCGAAGTTTAGTCTCTGCATTTTAAAACACTTCTAAGTCCCTTTTTCCAGAGTGGTGCCCAAACCTGAATTTATCCAGTTGTGGCTGATTGTCATCTGTGAAAATGCAGTTTGTCACAAGGTACTGGAAAATGGATGATCTCTCAAGTCAGAGGCTGCTTCCGTAACTGGTGGCTTTTCATCAGTCAGAGAAACTATATCAAACTTTTTCTCACATTTAAGACCTTTGTAAATAAGGAGGCAGAAGGAGCATGATGATCACTAGAAAAAGTCTAGGCTGTGCTTAGCTTTCAGTCCTGATGAAGTAGCATTTTTGCATTAAATTTGAGCTGAAAAATTGGAGTCCACATTGCTAATCTCTTTTTCTTTGGGTCCCCAGATCTAAACGTCCAGTGCCAGTTTCAACCACAGCACCCAGAATTGACTCTCCCAGGGCTGTAATTCCCCACCAGAAGGTATGTGATGCATTTCTCCTCAGCCAAAGTAAATACCATTTTTATCTACCACAGTGAAGGTAAATACCTACTACAGAAAATAGCTTTTTCCCACCTCAAATAAATAAACTTTGAATGAATGCACAGGCAGCAAAACTGCCATAGTGCAATGTATTAGCGATCTGTATTTTGCTAATTTCTGATTAGCCAGAGCCAAACCATCCAGCTATCCTCCGATGTGATCTGGCTTAACCCATTTTGAGCAGTTAGTTTTCATCTAGGCTGCCAGAGGCTACCAAAGTTTCTTAAAACATACGTTTGCTTTTGTGGATTCTTGGGGAAAAACCATTAGACCGTGCCTCAGTTTCTCCAAATCCTGATTACAGCTGAAAAGACACTGACTTGGCAAGAGGATATTTGGGCATTTGAAAGCTTGCATCATCTTGCATTCTTGTCACATTATTCAGAAGGCATAAGAATAAAAAATAAAGAGGATAAGTCAATTTAATGAATAACAGCCAGTGGCAGAGGAAACGGATGGCTTGGTTTCTGTTGTCAAAGCTCATTGTCTCCCATAAAATAAATGTTCATATTAGAATAAACAGCATTCATTGCCTGTACCTGGCAACTCATCATCTGTATCTTTGGGGAGGCACTGGGGAGCGGGGATACCTGAAAGATGGTATATACCCTTAGGCTCAAGCACTGGGTAGGACATTTGTATTGCTGACGCATTTAATTAGATAAATGGAGAGGAGGTAAAATCTCCATTGCTGAAACTTTACCCCTTCTGAGTGTGCCAGTTTCATCCCTAGCATGTAGTATAAATGTGAAATACTGAAGATCAAAATACATGGGGTGATGTTCTACTGGTTTTGGCAGTTCTGACTTCCATAGATCAATTTTAAGTAGTTTTTATAAAGACCATGCTTTCTAGAGTCAGAGCTCAGAAGGTAACATCATCCTTGTAATCGCTGAAAATATGTTAAAATTAACAGAAGAGAACACACTTGGAGAGAATAGTTTGAATCAATTTTATTTTGTCAAATTTGAAATGAACCTGTCTGGCCATTTATTAGTTGAGACAGAAATAGTGTTATTTTGCTCTGGATCTTGTAAACTTTTTGGCAAGGAAGACTCTGTCTTGCTCAGAGTTGTTTCTGTTTATATCATGGTTTTTTAAACGTTACCTTGGAGAAAGTTGTTGAAAGTGTCACCAAACAGTACTGTGAAATTACTAGAACAAAAATGATGGATCATTCTTTTAGTTAGACTGATGTTCGACTGCACCAGCAAAGTAATAGGGACAGGAAGGGGGAGAGAGTACTTATTTTCCCTCAAGAACTACACAGAATGCTGTTAAATTTTCAAGGAAGCAAGTAGACATGTCTCTTGAGAGTTATTCACCAACACAAGACTGACAACTGTCTTTTGGGACCCTCAGTAGCACCTGTGCAGGTATGACAAATTTTCCTACTTCTACCACCAGCACATAAAAGCTTTTATCCATCAGATTTTCATGATTCCGTATTAGGTGCATTTCTTCCCTGCCAAGTGTCAATTTTAAAATTGCTACCATAGGTATTCAAAGCTGTTTACCACAAAAAACATTCTTCTCCCTTAACTATCCATCCTGTAGAAAAGTTAACTCTGGGCACTGTAGGGTTTTTTTAAAAGGTCCTAAAAGTGCCTTTGGCATGAAAGCTATAAAGTCACTTTACAATTCCTATTTTAACTCTTCAGAGACAGATGAGGATGAAAGAACTCAACCCTTTTTCAGGAGCATGTGGTCTCACACTTGAGCATTCTGCACAACGGTGCTTAGGAAAGGTTTATAGGAGCTGTTGGAGGCAGCCTATTCCAAATGGGCTCCAAGGCAATACTTGCAGCTGGAAATGAGATTTACCGGAACATTTCTGGAGGAAAAGAGTGGCATCTAAGAGAAGGCATGGTGAGAAACAGGGTATCTAGCAGTATTCAGAAAGGTGGTCTAGGGTGTAGGGTCTTTGACCCAGTGGGAAGAGGCAGCAGTAGGGTGCTGGAGTGGAAGGCCCTTTGCAGGTCAAGAGGAATGGTATTTGTGCCACTAGTACACACTAGCAGACAACAGTAATTTTTAACTGAAGAAACATAATTCTTCTCTGAGGGTGGTTTGGAAGGGGATGAAGGCATTCAGCCATTGGAGAAGTCTCAAAATCCAGAATAAAAAGTCTTTACTGATACAAACAGTGGTATGGAGATGTTGTAATAAGGTATGTTCCAGTAAATATACTTTAAAGATCAACATTTCTTTGCTTGTCCCTTTATTATTTCTAGTAACAGTATGACTGCAGAAACAAGAATTCAGTGACATACAGCCAGAAGCTGCAACCTCCACATCATTGCTTGACAGTGTTTAGACTGATGGTTCACATGAAATTAATTTGATTGTGTTTCAAAAAACAGAAAAAAACCCTACAAGACAGTCATGACAGTGTTGTCTTCAAATGCTGAGAGAAGTTTTTCTCACCCTTCCCTGAGTCAAGGTTAAGGCATGGCAACGTTAGCTAAAAATCTGCATGTGCAAGTTCAGTGTCTAGTTTAAACCATAAATTCTCTTGTACATGATTGCTGATCTGATTGCAGCTTCCACTAATTTTCAAGCATGTATTTCTTTTTTGACTGCTATGGTCATGGTTTTTTGTGTTTTAGAAAGATAAGCACACATTATTTTATAAAGATGTAAGGAAGGTATAAAAATCCCAGAGTTCTTCAGCATGGTAGACATTTTTCTACATTCCACAAGTAATATACACTCTCTCCTTTCTTTCTTGAGCTGATGGATGTTATGTTTGATACAGGTTCTGCAACCATAAGTATGGTGTCAACTGAGGTGTAGGGCTATTACTGGAAATAAAAGTTTAACTGATTTGCAGTTTCACTATTTCCTTATCTGACATTAATCTCAAACTTGAAACTACTTGTGTGTAGTTCAGTCAAATCTGTTTGATTTAGTCAAAAGATTTAGTTAAGTCTTTTGCACAGGTGTGGCATAGCTGGAAGAAAGGGCATCACTAATGCTGAAAGCATTCAAGTAACAAGGAGAGTAAGTGTGAGTCCAAGGACTGAAACTAAACCATCATCAGCCAGTGAGTTCCTGCAGCTTTTCTGGGGGGATGGTGGTGGGGAGATGCACAACACAGGTGAAGATTCAGCCAAGCGCAGTTCAGAATGTTCAAGCTGAAGCTTTAAGGCTAAGCATAGATCTAACATTTGTCCCTTTGCATAAAGGTATTAAGACAGTCTCTTTGATTTTAATAATATGACTCTGTATGGTCCTGTTTATGAAACAGTACTCAACACATTTATTTCAAAGTCCCAGTGAGGATCTCATAATGTTTATGATTTGTTTCCTGCCAAGTTTGGGAACCTGAGTGGCTAAGGGAAAATAGATAAAGAGGTGACTGACTTTTTCAGTAGATCATAGGATGGAAGAGCTGGCTGAGCCAGGAGCTGTTTGTTGGATGTCTTTGAGCAGAGCCATTTAATGCCATGGTCCCTCCATTTCCTTCTTTCTATAAAAGCTTTAAAGCAACAAGTGCTTCTTGGGCATGCTGGAACGTCAAATTATTTAGTGTATTGTTAAAATTGTTCTCCCAGAACTGCAAAAGGTGAATAAAGACTGTATGGTCATAGCAATAGATAAATAGAACATGGGCTGTTAAAGGAAGAGGACCTGAAAAACAACTGGTATTGTATCTTCCAATATAAATTTGTTTCTCACTTCTCTGATACATAAGAAGGAGCATTTGACTTTCATCAAAATTGAATATTTATAAAGAAAAGAATAATAATATTTCAGAATGGACATTGAGCTGATTCATAACTTCCTTCTATTCCCAAATGTTTGAGACTCCTTTACATTTATCAGTTTTAAACTCATTCACTGACGTTACACTGGGAAATGACAACACAGTTTTCCCCCTCCCGCAGTAAGGGATTGCTGCACCATCGCAGCATCTTTCTGGCAGGACGAAGACCATTGCTCAGTGTCAGAGCCTCCTCTTCTGGTCGGCTGAAGGGCAGCATCAGACTTGCACAGTTTAAAATGTTAGCTTGCTTTTCCAGCCACAGAGACTGAAACAGAATGGGATGAGAGAGATGGGAAACAGGGGGACGTTTGTTACTGCTGGCTGCATTTCATGTGATGTAATGCTAAAAGCTGTGCTGCTGCCCAGTTTTAGAAATCTGACCTTCACGTTCAGAAATGGTTGCAGAAATGCTGCATCGATCTGGTTTTGCCACTAAACTGGAGAAAAACATTTCTAAAATATCCTACCAGAAATGAACTGAATGAGAGATTCTTTGTCAATCACAGAAGGAAAGACCTAAATAAACTGATTATTGACGGTAATTCTTTAGAAGTTACACAGCTGCTCTCTTGGGCACTTCCTGTTTCATTCCTTTCCCACTGAACACAAGGAAAACAACTACCTTAAAACTACCATGAATATTAACTCAAAATGGCAAATGCTAGCCTGGCACCGCTGGCATCCTAGGAATTCTAGTGTTGAGTTACCAGCATGCTGGTATTCCAGCTAGAAATCATTTGAGGAGTGAAACCAAAATTCCATTCATGTCATAAAGGCGCGCAAAATCATCAACCATCATTTTTTATGGCGGTCTTATAAATTTCTCTTTGCCTACTGTTAGTGTCCAGAAACTCCAAAACTATAAAAATGAATTAGGATTAAGGAAATATGTGACATTTCTCTCATTAGCAGTTGAAACTGATACTCTGCAATCAGATCTCCTTGCATGTCCTTCTGTGATGGGGTTTAGAAAGGAAACCAACAGTTAACTTAGATTAAAGCCACAGAGTTTTCAGGGTGGCAAACAGAAACAACTCTGGCATATCCTTTTCTTCTCTACTGCCTCTATGTATTTTTAAAAATATTTGTTTTGTCCCTCTATGCTAACATGTAAAACTCATTTGCACAAGTGGTGACTTAATTTATGAACGTGGTCTTTTTCATTTGTGCCTCTTTTGGAACACATTTTTAGAGAGAATTCCTGTTTTCTAGTTGTTTAACGATACTTGGAAGCTTGCAGTAGGCCACTTAAAGGTTGGTTGTTTGCTGTGTTCGATGTCAGGGTATGACTGAAGGATGCAACTCAAAAAGACATAGTCTGAAAAACATTTTTAGTATTATCTATTTCTACAGCCTCAGGCAGCTATTAATGCCAGCTAAAATATCTTCCTGTTTATTACTAAGAAAAATGTTCTCAGTTCATTTTATCTGCCTTGCATTTTTGATTCGAAACTTCTTAAATGTGTTTAATGTTATGATTAATTATGTCCTTAGACCTTTAGGGGGATTTTTGCAATTAATTTCAATTAATCAGGCCATATTATCTTGATTTTTTCAAGTGTAATCTCTCTAAACTTAAATATGCAATATAGAAAAATCCAAGAGGAGAGTATAAAATATTTATCTTTCTAGTGAACCTTACGAACAAAATCAGTAAATGACTGATAACCCACACTAGCAAAAGTAGAAAATCAGAGGCCAAATTATTCTCAGGCCTATGTTTCATGCAAGGGCTGGGGTTGGGGGGGGTGTGGGGGGGAGGGTTGCTTGTAAGATGGTAAAGATGGCAACTGAAACAGTGCCAGCCCAAATGAAGCGAAATGTCACTGCAGGCCACCACCTGCTCTTGCACTGGCTCCACTGAGGGCAGAGGGTGGGCTCCCTCCCTTCTTCGGGATAACGGCCCCACCTGAGCCTGTCCCCCAGGGCGGGACTGCAGCATGCTGCCAGCACTGCTGTGGGCCTCTGAACTGTGAGCATCACAGCATCTGGGTACCAGCTCTGGCTGCAGCATACCTAGGTCTGGAGGGAGAGGCTGAAGTGATCGTTCTCCTGTAGCAAAAGCAAGGTAGCCCAAGTTAGGCTGGAGCCAGGAGCTTCTGAGATAAACTACAAGTTGATATTATGGCTCTAGAGAAATCTGTAAACTGCCAAGCATTCAAATAGTTTATTGGGTACCTTAGCTATAGATTTTTTTTGTTTTTTTAAATCCAAAGCACGTAATTACAGGCAAACAAAAGAGAAGAATAAAACAGCTTTTGAAACTAAATAATTCATTATGTTAAAACATGTGCTAATGAGTTCCAGCACTCAGGATGCTAGGTTTAAAAGGCAAGCGTTAAAGAGACATTAAAAATAATCAATATTAGAATCTTGCTATTCATGTTCTGGTCACTGAGCCTTTAGAAGTTAAAGAAAACTGAGTGTAAAGGTATAAAATACCCACCTGAAAGTGGAGTTTGTATTCCTCCCATAAAATTGTCCATATTACAGGTAGGCAGACCTCCAAAAAGCATAGAACTGTGGTTCCTACACGCCACCAGTAGCTGGAAGGAAATGAGGCAATTTAACCCTAAGGGTGTTCAGTGCTTCCCGGGAAGTGCTGAGTACCCTCCGGCCCGGGGATTTAGATGGCATCACACCAGAATGAGGTTGAAGCAGTGATAGGGTGTTTTAGGGTGAACACAGACGTTTTACATGAAACTTCCTCAGAACCCATGTGACAACTTATTTCCTGCGCTGTGTTGCTGGAAAAGCAGTATTTTTCTTTTTTTGGTATTACCTTTTATTTTTGTTTCACTAAGCTGTATATTAATAGCAGATCATTTATGAAACTGAAGCATGGTGCTGCAGTTTTCCAGGATGAGGTTTTGGTAGAATGTTTCTAATTTGAGCACCAGCCCAGACTTCTTTGGGTGTAGCTATTGTAGGAGAGATTCCTGTGACTTTGACTAAGACAAGACATCCTGCTGTCCTAGTTAGGAATATTATCTGGGACATGACCGTAGGATCGTACACTCATCCTCTACATACTCATGTGCACATTCCTCCAGTGGAAATTATGCAGAAATGATCAGAACAGAAACATCCTGTCTGCTGAGCAGTACCTGTTCTCGAGTGCTGTTGGTCTATCTGCTAACCGTGCTGCATGGCCTAATTAGCATGAACCAGAGCAGAGGAAAGCAATGCAACGCGGGGGCTTCAGTAATGTGGAGTCATGGAAAACAGAATGGTGTGGTTTAGAATCATTATGTTTTTATAATAACAGCATTGACTTTTATGTTTGTATATTATCTCAAATGATTCTGACCTCAAGACAATGTTTAAGGTTTATTAATTATTCTAGAAATTAACGGATAGTGTTGTCTTTATATAGAATTATTGCTGTGAGGTTGACTAGTAGCAAATGCTCTTTTAATGTTAAGCTTTATTTGTTGATTTTGACTAAAACCCAGTGTATGGTTTGCTTCCCTTATTTTGAAACAATGTGTTTCTTTGAAAATCTTCCCTGAAAGGTTGGATGCTTTGGCCCCAATCTATTTATTGCAAGTTTATCGATAAGTTCAGAAAGCAGTAATTGCAGATATGTTATTTTTGCATGTGTTCTATGATTGCTCTTTTCTTTTTTTTCTTTTCTTGGCCTGCATGTTTGCTACTACAGGAACCTGCTTGGGAAATCAATGGCAACAGAACAACCTTCAGTCCTCTAACTAACACGGCGACTGGGCCTATGGGTAGTATTTTAGCAACCAATGGAACGTTTTCAGGCTACCTCAACAAGCAAGAGATCAGCTTTTCAAATAGCTCTTCCTACTTAAAGACTACCACAGTTAGATCTTCCATGTCCTCTCAGTCTGTGACTCCTGACATTTCACCTGCAAAGAGTAACCTAGGTTCAAAACTAAGCCCCGTACTGACCGATGGCAATAGTCCGAGCCACCAGCTGAGCCCCGCAAGGCAGTATAACAACCCTATTGGCCTTTACTCGGCAGAGACTCTAAGGGAAATGGCTGAGATGCATAAATTAAGTCTCAACCGAAGGGCTTCGGAAGGTGGACTTCCTAGAGGGTAGGTAACATGGTAAAATATTTAATATTTCAATAAGTAATGAATTCGCTGGAAAATGAATGTAATCGTACCTACCCCATTGTGCATTCATCTGGTAATCATGATTAAGGTCTGGAACAACCATTAAATTTTCCATTACCCCCCAAAACATATATACAGTACCATTACAGAATAACTCTTGGTCTTTGGTATCTGAATTGCGATATGGATTGGCAATAGTCACCAGAGCATGAGAAGGAACACTATGGCTGAAGGAACTGTGAGCATCTCAGGGTTCTGGCATTTAGCAATTTAAACTAATGCATGTAGTAACCATGTATCGCTGTTGTCCATTATAGAAGCTGCTAGAAAACAGATCTGATCTGTGGTACTTTCCTGGAAAGAAATGGCTTTGGCCATCAAATCTGACATGCTAGTCTACTGAAGTGTCCTGCTAAAGTTCCCGCACTAATGTATTGGCTTTCCTATGCAAAATGAGTCAAACTTGCAATATTTTGCATCCTCAGGTTTGAACACTGTCTGTCACATCCGTTAGCTTTGCTTGCAACTTGTATGTAACCAGGAATGATCTCTAGATACTGCCCACATAGTTTGAGCCCACGCTGCCCAGGTTTTCAGTGGTACTGTATTGCAGAACAACTGTTTTATTAGTAGTGAGGAGCTTGGACTATAGTACATGAGAAAAAACAATGAGAAATGGGTTTTCTTAATTTTTCTTCCTTCATGTATTAATTTGCAAAGAAATCTCTAATTTGTTTATTTGTTTTTATTTAAAATGAAGATAAATTTCTTATTATGAATATGGGAAATAATGTACTCCTGACACTAGGGACTTAGCTATATGAGGAAAAACAGAAAATTCAGACAATCCACTAGAGGTCTGATAGCAAATGCTTATTTTCAAGTATTTTATATCCCATTGAAGAAGCTCTTTGCAAGAGTAAAATCAAGTGGTGTTAAGTTGCAGCAAAGTAAGGATATTATATCCTTAGAGCATGTATGCGTGTTCTAGATGATTAATTGTAACTCTCTTGAGCACTCGGCATTAACAATCCTAATTAACTTATCTGAAAAAATTTTCTCCTCCCTTCTCGTACTGGATAATTAGGCAAGGCAATTAATGTTTGAAAGAAAATAATTTCAGTTAGTAAGCAAGATCAGCAAAATAAACCTCAGGATGCTACCCTCTTAATTTACAGTTTTCTTGAAGAAAACTAATCCTTGTCTTATTTCAATATGCAGTTTCCTGGGAGTATATCTCACTATCTTTCTCCCACTGTCTTCACAACCCTCCTTAACGTCTGCAGGGGTGAGGGTGGAGGGGCTGTATTTTGGATGGCTCTGCGTTCTGACTATTTCTTTGTTATCAAAATTGCAACACAGCTGCATCCATCACTCACCAAAGTCAATGTGAACCATTCTTTTGATTCCGTGGTTTATGTCTCCTTTATATCTACATCTTAGTACATGCCTGTGGCAGTGCACTGAATTACAAAGCAAGATCCTACCTCAGGATAACCATCTGAGAATTTTTTTTTTTTTAGTTTGACCAAAATTTTAGGGCATTCCTGTCTATCTGCCTGCAATATCTGTAGCACTGATGAACAAATCAGAAAATTTATGAGAAATCATCTAAATGTTCTGTTTAAAAAATTCAACCTTTATCCTGTAGCCCAGGAGCATCTGTTAAAAAAATTCAGCCTTTATCCTGCAGCCAAGGAACAATCTAAAAAGATGAAAGAGCCCAGAGCTACTAAGTACATCTGTCTTTTCAGGTAATTTCTCTGAGATTTAGAGCAGTGTACATCGGTGTTTACATGCAGAGAAAATTCAGACTTCAGTAATCCTGTCATTCCCACTCCCACTTGAGTGTTACCCATGAAGCGAGAGGCGTCTTTCCTACTGATCTGAGTAACGTGGAACCTGTAACGACCTTGGGACTTGGCATCATCCATGATGGTCCTGATCTCATTGTGGATATATGTGAAGGAGTGCACAGGGAAAGCACTGTGAGCTCTGCAGAATCAGCTCGGGGCTTTGTTGTGGACATTCTTATCCTATAGCACAACATGCAATGCTGGGTAAGGATTTGTGAAATTACGGTGCTCCAAAACGGAATTTATTATGCATTCATGAACATGCACTTAGCAGTTTGGTAAAAGCTATGAGAAAATTCAGTTTGGGGCTTGATCTTAAGGTAAATTTCGTATTTCAATTTGGTGTCCTTTTCACCAAATCATTTAAACTTAACTGTGTGACCTGCTGTTAGAGGCTTAGCTAAGTCCTTTGGAAAATCCTATCAGAAAGCTAAAATTAATTTTGAGATTATTTCCTTGATCTGCAAAGAATAACAAAGCATATGTTCCTCTGATACAGTTTTACATTAAGGCTTTATCACTCTGGCCCAGGGTGAGAAATAGAGGTGGCCTGTTAAGAGTGTGGAACTTGATGTGCTGAAAGCTCTGGAGAGGGGAGTATTAATAAATACGAAGAGTGAGTCATAGCTTGTAACATGTGGTTCTTTTTCATTCCAGTGCAAGTTATTTTTCACATTGTAGGTCAAGGGCAGTAAATACCTGTCCCACAAGTACGTGCCAGGTGGCTTGGGTTACTAGCTTCTTATGGTGTGACCTCTGTGAGCAGCAAGTTGGGTGTTTCATACATGTCCATATTTAGAATCAAGCTAAAATAATGTATGGCTCTGAACTGGAGAGAATTTTCTTATCGCGTACCGAACATAACGAGAAGTTTTACTCTTTTTGAAGTAAGCTAGAGTAGTCTCTTCACATTTAAAAAATCTTTACTGAGACATGTTAGTTGAGCTGTTCTTAGTGCATGCATATAATGATTTTTATCTTTGAACATATTTTTACATGCAAACAAGTGGTTCCTCTAATTAAGGTGTATTTTAGGGATGGTAGTTCTGCCTTTAAAATATTATTTTATGTTTAAGGCAGAGAGCTGGATTAGAAGATTAAAGCAGTCATCAGAGTCCACTTCAGAGAATGATACTATTACACTGTGTTTCGTTGTAAATGAGTGCCCAGCTGTCCTGCACATACCTAAAATGGATATAGGATCACTGATGTGCTTACAGGCTACAGTTTGTTCCTAATATATCTCTACTGGTTCGTGTAACAGACTGATATATTTGGCTTAATGTAGGGTTTATCAAGTATAGAAGAATATTCTTGAATCCGAGAGTCTGAAGAACAGTAACTGCAGAAGATGATCTGCAATTGCTTTTCCATGGAAGTGTAAAGCCTTTACTGCAGCTTTGGCTCATTAGGGTGTTTCTGATTATGCAAAAGGCACCTGGATGAGCCAATGCAGAAGGACTGTGTGTAAAAGGAAGCCGTAATAGCAAAGGTTCTGCAAGGCAAAAGCATAAGGAGACAAAGCCACTTTCAGTGTCATTCTAACAGTACAACGTTGCTGTCCTGTATTTTGTATCCATCTCAGATCCAGAAATGTTACAGGAGGCAGTTGGAAGGTTCAGTGCCCAGTTCTGTCAACAGCATTCTGTGCAGATAAATAAGAAGAAATGTTTATTAACTGATCCTGAACTCCCTTCCTTTTTATTTTGCGTAAAATATGATTAATTTCTCTTCACACAAGAAGAGCAAAATATGGGTGTTCTAAGCTTTGAAAGAACTAAGTTAAAATAGAAGTCATAGCCCATGGCCATATCTGAGTCTGAGCACACTATCTGTTCACTGCCCCCAGCTTTGGTCCACGTAAGGCCCACCCTGAGTTTTGTGTTGTGTTTCTTTGGAATTGCTGTGCAAGCCACCGTCACTTCTTGTTTGTGCAATGAAGCAGAATGTAACATGAACAGAAGTTTTTTCATATTGTGTACATACCAGATGGGATAAAATATCCTGATAGGGATATCTAAAAAAACAGATAATACATGGACTTGCTTCATTTCACATGGAATAAATTAGGAATGACTATTCTGAAATTAATTTGTTTACACCACTGTTGGTATAATGTAGGTACAGTCAGATTTAGGCCAATAGTCTGTTAAATACAAGGGCATTTTCCTCAGTTTTGGATCTAAAACATCTACCAATGTATTCTTTGGATATTTTCCAGTATGTAAAAGACAAAAAAATCAATCTTGCAATACCAACTCTGAGGACAGACTGAGGAGAACAGACTTCATCCCTCGATATTTAGTATCTGAGGGAAGAACATAATCTCTACCACTCATGTGCTATTTTCAGATGAGAATATACTCTGCAAATGCCTCTTTCTTCTGTTTGCTCCCTCCCCCCATACACTTTGATTATAGTACTTCCAGGGATGAGTAGCAATAAAATCATGTTCAAGGGTCAGCCAAAATGCCATGGTACCCTACTAAATCCTAGCACATCAACTATAATCCCTACGTTTTTTCCTTTCTTAATCATGTTAGGGGTTTCAGGCATGCATTTACTTTTTTTCCTCTTACTTGTAGATGTTCTGAAAAAAGCTTTAGTAAGCTTTTGTAAATACCTTTTGCCCTTTGCACTCTAAAAACTATTGACTTTTTCTGTTTAGTTGGTTTTGATGTTGTTTGTTCTCTTTCTCTTCCTTTAGGTCATAACCAACACTGCTGCCAAGTTAGTATCACTTTTATATAGTGCCAAGTATTTGTGTTACGCTCTGTGTGTGAAGATTTGTTTTCTGGGGTAGCATGATCCCTTGTGTTCCTGCTGTGTCTGCCTGCAAGTGGAATTATTTTTAAAAAAATCTTACTGGTATGACAAGTGTCATGAGCTGCCACTGCTGTCCAGTGGTGCTCCCTTGTGAGGACACAAAGTATTTGGCATTTTTTGGTGATGTTCTAATGCTGCAAATGGAGTTAGCATCTGAGCTTGCTCAGTTCTTGTAAATGCTTTCAAATAGTTTCTCTCTACAGTCTGGGTTAAATTCTTCCTAACTCTTCAGGTAGTCTTCATGCCTTCAGGATTTGGGAAGCCTCATCTGAGCCTTTTTTGGTGTATTATTAGTGA